AAAAAATTCAGATTCTGCTCATTGGCTTTTAGGGGTTTGTTATGTCGGAGATGCTGAGAGAAGAATATTCCTTTTAAGTAACCCATCATGTCTTGATTACGAATGATTTGTTATTTTAACTTTAGGACCACGTTCTAAGCTTGTAAGTCCACTTTTCCGATGGAAGTCCTCATAGTTTGCAGCGTGGTCCATAGAACAGGTAAGTCCCATATAATGGAAACAATCAATTTAAAATGCTCTGTTCACTTTTATTTAAAGCAGTGATGAGTTTCCAACATGGTCAGCACAACTTGTGGGAATTTATTTATTTATTTGTTACAGGGTATCAGATTTGCGCTATTATTTTCTTGAGCTTTGAGACCGGCTATCGTAGTTCGAACTAGTTTAAGGATATGTCTATTGAGGAATAAGATGACTGACTTCTAGAAGGTGTGAAAAATATCGAACATAAGACCTCTTACTTACAAAAGGAAAGATTTGACCAATGAACCATTTTAAAAATTTATGGGAACTGATTAATTGTACAACAAGAGATGAAATGTTAACTCACAAGGAGTCCTATGGTTGCATAAAAGTTTGATTATCCAATAATACAACTTGGGTTAAGAATTCGAGTTGAACTAAATTCATTAATTTTGGATTGAGTTTGAATTAAATTTTGATAACTCAATGGTCCAACTTGATTACTCTTCGAATTTGAATGAAGTTTTTTTTCTCCCATTCCCAAGTTGAATTTGCAGTGAACTCTACTTGTGAAATACCAAAATTTCATAATAGATGATGAAGTCTTTCCTTTGTGTTTCTGATGAAATTTAAACAAAATTACCAAAACACCATCCAATCGCAAATAAACTCAATCAAAATTTTGTTAGAGTAACTCCAAGGAGGAGTGGCATCGGGGGTGGCAACCCTATAGTTGCCAAAATGTCACCCTAAATTTAAAATTTTTTACTCCAACAAGGGGTGCATCAAGGGTTAGAAAAATGACATTAATACTCTTGAGGTGACAATTTTGACAACTCTGGGAGAGGTTGCAAATATGTTTAATTATATTTTTTAAGAGCAACTCCAGGGATACCTGTTCAAATATATTAAAATATTTTGGCAATAATAAAAAAATATTAAAATATCACTTTATTTTGGCACTTGTCATGAAAGCAGATTTATAATTCAATGATGCCAAAATATTGTTCAAGGTTACAAATAAGTGATTTGACATCTAAAAGGGCAACTCTTTTTGGAGTTGCTCTTAATACATTATTTCAAACACCTGAAAAATACAGGATGATTTCATATTTGTTTTGAAAAATATATCAAAAATAAAATAGAAATAAATAAAAATTTTGATAATTTATTTACAAAACACTAAAGTACAGAAAAATTTTAGAACATATCAAACATCAATAGAAAATTTTTGAAAAATCTCAATCTCAAAATACTTTAATTAGGATTCGGGAAAGTTTTATCGACACTCCTTCACAATTCTGAAACTTTACTGCATCATCTTTTGATTTATACTCTCAAATCAAAGATACTCCATTAACGGTAATTCTTAACTTTGTTAGTACAAAAAAAGTAACGGTTTGACTATAAATTTTTTGAAAATATCAAAACTACTATTCCTTAGGTAAATATACTAAAATCCTCTTAACTTTTTTTTCTACTATATATACCACACATTTTGTTATTTGTAAAGGTCTAAAATAATCTGGGATTGCTGAAAGACATAGGAGACTGAATTCAGTCATTATTTTTCAACTCGTTCTCCATAGTGATTGATCACTACCTAAGTTGATAAAAAATATATATCTATTATTTTCTTGCAGATTTGTAAATTTTTTCATGCATATTTTTTTAAAAATTTTTTTTAATTTTTTTACCTACAAATAGTTTTAATTTTTTTCATGCAAATTTTAAATTTTTTTTCATACAAAATACCTGTTAGATTTTTAAGTTATTAAATCCATTTTCTCATAAGTTGTTGGGTAAGAAGTACACTTTTCGGTTTCTTATATTACTTAAGTTTCCTCTGTGGTATATTTTTTGTTGTTTGTTATAAATTACAGGGGTTTTAAATTTATTTTATAGTTAAAAATAATTTTTGTATAATAAAATTACAATCGATAAAGTTAATGTCAAAATTCCATTAATTTCTAACTTCTTAGCTATCGTGTGTCCTTCACAACGTCACATGACCATTCTTCATGCATTGTGCTTCATATATAAAATTTAAATATTATTTGATAAAATTTAATATTAATTAAAAAAAATTTGGTCTTAATATGATAAAATTAAATATTAATTTAACGTTGATTTGATAAAATTTAATGTTAATTGAATAAATTTAAATATTGCTTTAATAAAATTAAATGTTTATTTGGTATTAAATTAAATAATTGACATTAATTTAATAAGGTTAAATGTTAAACTAATAGAATTTAATATATTAAATTTTATTTTAATAAAATTAAATATCAATTTGGTGTTGATTTGATAAAATTGAATATCAATTTGTGTTGATTTGATGAGATAGAATGCTAATTTAATTTAAATTAAATAATGGACATTAATTTGATAAAATTAAATATTAAAATAATGAATCTAAAGGTTCATATAATATATAAAAAAAAGTTAATATAATATAATTAAAAAATAGTACATTGAAATTTCAGAATTGGAAGTATTATTAATGATATGTCTATTTACGGGGAATATCGTTTAAGTTATTTCTATTTATAGGTTGTGTTGTTGAAATTATGTCTATTTATAAAATGTGTGAATAAAATTTATCCTATAAAATATACGCGGTAAAGACCGATAGAATGATAGTAAAATTTCAAAATTGAGAGATGGTGTCGTAAAATTTATACCTAATTACAAAATTTTGCCATCGGATTCATTTAAAAATCGAATTTTTATCCTTACTTATACTCCACCCGACACGTGCCACTGAAATACAGTGTAACCAAACTTGTACGAAATATGAAGAAGACCAATAGAGACAAGACAGAGAGACGGCTTCTTTTCGGAACCATTACTTATTTGCAGAACCATTACAAACCCACCTTGTTCACTCACTGCCCATAGTAGTTTTGCTAGTTTTACAGTGAAATCTTGCATTTTTCTGAACATTTTTCCCGATCAAAAGCAGTACATTGAAGTTTCAAAGGTGGGTTTCTAATCTCTGTATATAAATCTTCGTGTGCTCTGCTTTTTGTTACGTTTGGTTCACATTATAAACACTCTGTTTTTGGCTTTCCATGATGTATGTATAAGGTGTTTGGTTGCTGGGCAGTAGAGAGAAAATGGAAGAACATACGTTTCCCGGACATTGTTTCTTTGTTTGTGATATATGAAGATGGTGTTAGAGATAGTTGAAAGGGAATGAAAGGGTTTAAAAGGAGAAACACACCAAATTTTATAAATTTGGATGAGAGGAAGATTCGGAAGAAAACTCAAAATATTTTAAATCAATGGGCTTGATTAAACTTTAAATCAAATAATATTTAAAGTTAAAAAATAGGCACTTGGGGCATATTGTGGTTGAAACTTTTAAATAATTAATTATTTTTATATTAATTAATTACTAAATGTCTTTTGGTTTAAGAGTTGTGTCTCCTCGCTAAAATATTATAAATACATGTACAGATCTTTCAATTGAAATATATATAAAAATATGTTTCTCTATTTTGTTATTGGGAGTATTTTAGAGTTTGTCATCTGAAATTTTGTTTGCCTTTGTTAATCCTAAAAAAATTTGCCATAAATCCAACACTATATTTGCCATAAATCCAACCCCAACATAGTGGGGGCATAAGGACAGTGAATACACACGATCAAATCCTTCTAATGGGGTGAAATCCAATTTTTGCTAACAGATGGTACATGCATGCAACGGAGACTGAGACTGGTGTGCGTTCGGTTGTTAGGGAGTTGTGCTTTATTTTATATTTTGGGTGGTGGTGGGGTTGTCCAGACTAATGTCAGCAATTTTCTTTGCTTTTTCTGTGTTTTTCGGGAACCAAACAAAGGGCTTAACTTGAGTCGTTATTCTCATCTTCTTACATTTCTTGCATTATTTAATAATAATTTAAATTATTATCAACAAAATTTGGCTATAAGTTGTTTAGTTCCATTCTGTATTATGAAGATGTCTTCATGTGTATGTCCTGTGATTGGTTTTTTGGGGAAGAACAGATATGATTTTACTGAGGCTTGCATTTTCCACTCAATTGACATGAGTTGCTAATAGTTTTTGATAAGCCAAAGAATACCTACCCTGAGACTTCATTGGCATGAGACACAGAATCATAAATTTGAGCTTGGAGGTCATTTTTGCTTCTATTACTTTTGGAACCACACATTTAGTGTTATTTCTTACCCTTCAATATTTAACAAATCTGTTTTATTTAATTTCATGAAAGTTTGTCTTCATATGTCCCAGTCTCGAATGCTTATATCCTCAGTCTCAATTCTTATGTTTCCAATATTTATACATGACCTGGGAAAATGAAATTTACATTCCAGGGGGCATGACACTACTACGGTTGGGCGAGGTTTGCAAACTTTAGGCTTATAGGCATTCAAATGATCCAGAGTTCTGTATTTAATTCTTTTATTTTTGTGTGTCCTTCACCAAACAGAGGTTATTATGAGAACATACATTGCTTGGCTTTTGACAATGGAGGATTCTTTTCAATTTCAGGTTTTCTGGAAAAATGTTGTGCTCATCTGAAGAGGAAATTGCAATAAGTGAATCAGAGTTTGAGAATTACCTCAACGATCTTTTGAAACACACATCTGGCGTTGGAAAGGACACACAGAGCCGGGGTTTAAGAGAGAAAGGGATTGATTTTGGTCCGAGGGGGTCTTCAGCACAATATACAGTGGAGACTATTGAGTCTCTTAAAGGCAGTGATGTAAATGAGTTGTTTGTTTGGCCGTGGATGGGAATTGTAGCAAAGATACATGCTGAGTGGAAGGATGGCCAATATGTTTGGGAAGGTAGTTCAAGGCTTAGTGAAGATTTAACTCAAAGGGGATTTAATCCTGTATGGGTTCATCCATTATCGAACCAGAAGGGTCATTCAGGTTATGCAATGGTGGAATTTAACGGAGATTGTTCTGGATTCAGTAATGCACTGATGTTTGAGAAGAGTTATGAGGCAAACCATAAAGGAAAGAGGGATTATTATACGGCAGAGAACATTGGAGATGATTTATATGGATGGGTTGCTCGTAGTGATGACTTTGATTCAAATGGAGTTGTAGGTCGTCATCTTCAAAAAACTGGAGATTTGAAAATTTTTTCTGAAATTGAAGCTGAAGAGAAGCGTAAAACTAACAAACTATTGTCAAATCTGAAAGAGATTGAATGCAAGTATAATAAAATCTCCATTTCCCTAACCAAGTTGATGACTCAAAAAGATGAGATGCACAAAACTTATAATAAAGGTATGCATTTGCATCCCCTTTGTTTTGCTGCTTAACTAAGGTTTTGTAAGACCAACTATTTGGTAATAGAATTTTCCTTCTCATTAGGGGTTTCTTTCAATCACACTGTCCTCACAATAGTTTTTCATTTTTTCACACACGAGATACGCAAAGATGCAGCAGAATGCACATCATCAGCTTGGGAAGATTTCCAAGGAGCATGAAAGAATCACACTGCACTTGGAAGATGAGAAGAGAGAACTTGAGCAGCGTGAGAAAGAACTGTGCAAAAGGGAGGCTGACAATGAAAAGGAGAGAAGGATGCTCCATTTTGAGAAGCAAACGGTACTCTGCTGCTTCCTTTGAATTTTTGTTAAATTCCATGATGGAGGAGCACCCCCAATTATCTTTTTTTTTTTTTACCGAAAGAAAGAGTATTTGTTATCAGTTTCTTAGATACATTTTAGCTATCTCTTTGAATCTGCTAGTGTTGTATTTGTCTGGATAAAGGATTTGTTCTGTTCTTTTAGAATGAGAAAGCAACCTTGGAGAAAAAGCAGGCAGAAGAGAATGTTCTAAATTTGGCTGAAGATCACAACGTATTACATCTGTTTTCTGCTTTGACTGGAAATACCAAAAGCACCAGTTGTGGTTATGGATTTCTAGAGGTACTATAATTTAATCAATGTGTATAAAATTAATGCTAGAGGGAAACAGAAAAACTGCTCAAGAAAATTGTTGAGCTAGAAAAAACACTTGAAGCCAAGGAAGCAATGGAGTTGGAAATAGAGCGTATGAGGGAGACTCTGCATACTATTAAACAGAATCTTGAGGAAAAGGAGGAGGAGCTTGAAGGTCTGGAAGCATTGAATCAAGTCCTTATTGTTAAGGAGCACAAAAGCTGTCAAGAGTTGCAAGAAGCTCGTAATGAGTTAATTAATGCGAGTTTCCTTTTCTCAGAGGGTTTAATACAGTAGTCTTCCTCTATTTTCCAAGCTCTGTGCGTTATAGCACATCTGTGCTTTAGAGGGACATCTGCACGTTTCACCTTCAAGATGTCACAGTCTAATTTAACTTCCTTTTTGGTTATACAATAAATCTGCTTTAAACATAAAGTTGCTCTTGCTGGTATATTATTGTTAAATGAGCTTCTGACACGATGATGTAACTTGACCTATTGTTAATCTCTACGCAATTTCAGATGTTATACCACCAGCCTGGACTAGGGACTAAATGGGTCCAGAACACAAAAGTTTAAAAGAATTAACAGATAATGTTTAAAAGAATTAACTGATCTTAGTTACCTTGGTGAATGATTTTTTTGTCTCACTTGTTCGTAACTGACAGAGCAGTGAAGCTTTCCTGTAGATATAGTTTGCTCTACAGCATTCTTCCATGCTGGCATTGCACAGCCAACAATGTAGCTAATTCTAGTCACTATAAACCATAGCAGTAAATTTCGCATCATCTGCCAAGAATTAATAGTATGCCATCACTAGCATCTAGTTTTTAGTGCTATCATCTGGAGACATGTGAAAGCATATTGCACTACTATATTTAGTTTTTGTTAACTGAAAATCTATGATATTGTTGGCCAAATTGCTTAGTCTGTGCAACTAACTAGACCAAAGGGTTAAAGACAGTATGTAAACCTCTTATTATAATATCAAGACACTGAAGCGACGTCTAATTCTCAATGAGCTTCACTTGAAAGTTTCTCTAGAAGTTCATTGCATGCAATACACTTTTTAAGAATAGATATTTGTTTCTACATTAGGATTGGGTAAAACTATCACAGACCTGTACCACTTTGACACCATAGTATCGGGCTAAATGAGTATCTCTGAATAAGTTCTAATGAGAAATTATGTGAGAAAAATACAACACTTCACGTGAAGGATCTTTCCACTTGATTATATATGATAAATCGCACGTTAGACCTAGAAGGGAGGGTGAATAGCTTAATTACAATTTAAGTTTACATTATCACCAATTTTAACCTATATTTTTACCACAATTATCTTGTTACACAATAATATAAAAGTTTAAGTATGAGAACCCCTTTTTAACCATCATAATTGAAAACTTCCATGTAGGTTAGTGTATTGATTTTATCAATTTGTTCATCAAGGCAATTTCAACCACGGCAACCCAAACCCAATCAAGAAACTATACGTGATATTAGATTCAAACATTCAATTCATCAAGCACATAGTGTCCGTGTGTGCATCAAATTGTAAGTGTGTACAATAATCAACAAGAGTAAATACAAGTAATTTGTTAGTGCGGAAATCTTCTCGGAAAAAACCGCAAAGAACCTCTCTAAGGTTCACTAAAGCCTAATCACCAATCCAAAGTCAATCTAAAAGTACTTGAATCTCATATCTCAACCAATCCACGTGGCTATATGCTACTTCACTTCAGTAGATCTCTTAGCTGAAAGTTCCTCTTCGACGTCTTGGATAACTTTACTTAAACTCCTGTTACACAGTTCATTTAAGCCTCGAGCAATCTTCAAGGCTTCACACCTAAGGCTTACAACATGAACACTCTCTAATGGATTTGGTTTCAACTAACAAAGTTCTTCTTCTCCAAGGTGTGAGATTATATAAGAATCACAAGGTGGTAGCCTTGAGTTTAGGGATCTAAGGTTGTGGTGTGATATCTAAGGTGTAAGAGGTAAGAATTCTGCTCACGAAAGAGATACCGTAGGTAGGGAATATGTACTCCCTATTTATAGGTTTGGAATAAGGGCAATCTTAGTCAATAAGAAAATTTAAATTTGTGAACGACTGCACGAGTGACGAGATGGAGGTCATAGGCGGTGGTCATTGGATTAAAAAATGAATTCCAAACCGATCTAGGAGAAGCAAACTATTTGAGCGTCCTTAAGGGGGTTAGTGCTCCTCTATTTGGTCTTTTCCTCATTTTTTCTCTAAGTCAAAAAATTCTCTCCTGAGTACTAAAGGGCATAGTTCAAGAGGAATTCGATAATGACTCAAACTATGTTTACAAATTACAAAATGGTTTAGAAAATTTTTTCTTTGAAAATCATCTAGGAACCATTCAAAGATTAATACCGATTCTATTTTCACACTAAACCTCCTAAATCTTTTAAATTAAGAGATCATCTTAGATTTTTAGGTCATTATCTTGTCCTGAGCATGAAGGTCTATATGGAGGCTTTTGATGTAGCTTTGACGGATGATCTCCTTCTTTCAATAATGCTTTCGGATCTTCATCTTTGTAGCATCATGAACATGGAATAAGTTGAGATTTACATGAACTCTACGAAATTAGCCAATTACAAATGTATGATCTAACAAATCATTTTCAACCTAGTTCACAATACTGTATGTCGACTTTCTAATAAGTATTGAATAAACAAGAAAGGTGAATGGAATGCTTCTAAAACTCAATATCCCCTCTTGTTAAAGTAAGGAGGTCATAAAATATCACTCTTGAATTTGAGGCAATTGGTTTGATAAATTTTATTGGTATCTTTCATAGAAATACAAACATAGTACAAGATTAAGATGTCTCTGATTATCGATGTGTGTATGTCTTTGTGGTCTTTAATGTCTTATAATGTTCACTGTCTTCTCTAGTTAGAATCTGGATGCCTCTCACCATATGTCCATGTTATTTCTGTAATAATTGAACATCTCTCCTTTACCTGCATTTTTGTTTGTTCCTTCACAAATCATGGTCAATGGCCCCTAATCTTTTAAACGAACTACTTTAATTTATCCAGCTAGAGCTGGCTATACTGTTAGCTGTTTGCTAATTATGAAAATTTGAATGCATGCAAACGATATTTCAGCTAAAATATACTGAAATATATGCCTGCAAAACAATTTTGTGATTTTTCTTTACTGTGTGGTTCATCTATGTGATCTGGTGACCAAACTTATTTCTTTGACCTATAGGCCTTGAAGGAGCAGCAACCTTCTCAGTCGTTGGTTGGCGTGAAGAGAATGGGAGAGCTTGATCAGAAGCCATTCCTGGATGTTGCCAAGAGAAAATATCCAGATAAAATAGCGGATGACAAAGCTTTGGAGTTGTGCTCATTATGGGAGAGTTACCTTCGGGATCCTCACTGGCATCCTTTTAAAGTTGTTGCGGTTGAAGGTGGTGAAGATCATAAGGTATGCCTTTCTACAGAATATTATCAATTATTCCTTCTTTTTGGACAGACAATAATTAGTCATTCATTCCATGTCAATGCTCCGACAACTTTCCTCGAACTGCTAGCTTGATAGAGCTAAATAGGGGCGCACAAACAGCCTGAAATACGGAGAACACATTTAGTTTTTCTAGTAGATATTTTTTAGCTTCTTAATTGTGCAAAGATGAATGAGAAAGCATCTCCTTTAGTATTAGATTGATGCAAAAAAAATTTAAACATTAAAAGCTGAGCCAGTGGGGGCGGAGCTAGAAATTTGTCGTAGTGGGGGCAAATTTTAGCAACAAAATTTCGACATTTACTTAGATCTAGTTTAGAGACTTAATTCATTGCTACCATTCAATTAGCAAAAATGCTAGATATAAGGAGGGAGAACCACGAGACTCAAAATAATTTTTGAAATACATGTTGAGGAGTTGAAGTAACTAAACATTATTTAAGTTCATTTGATTGAGAGTAAAGAAATCTATTCTAAATGTGGGAAATTATGAAATAAATTTAAATGAATGAGTTTTTTTGTGGGGGCAAATCTATACTATGCAAAAATCTATATGAACAGTTTTGCTCTAAAATGAAATTTAGGCACGAGTGGCTCCGCCCTTGTGAGCCAGCATCTCTTTGTTAGAAAGCAGTATTTAATTCAAATTAGTTTTATGATTTCCGTATCAGTTGCAAGTGTCGAGTCGCTTGGCCTATTAATGATCTTATTACCTTTCTTCTATGTGGCTTCTAAGGCAGTAGTGGACCAAATTGGTTCTGTTACCGTGCCAAAGTGATTGGACAATTGTCATTCATTCGTGTGGCCTGGTTGACAGTAATGTGCTCCAAAAACAGTGGTGGAGTTTCTTTGATTTTTCTGTCCCTCTTCAC